CCCAGCGTGCCCAGCGTGCCCAGCGTGCCCAGCGTGCCCAGCGTGGTCGAGTCCTGCCCCTCTGTCGTGGGGGATGAGGAGCCTGCGGAGATGGGCATGTACTTCCGCATGCCGCTGCCCGACGCCGAGGTGGGGACGGTGGTGCGTATGCGTCTGATTGATCCGCTGTACGACGCACTGGGCGGACGCAATCCTGCACCCGGGCTGCAGGGCCGCCTGTTCGACCGTGCGTTTTTGCACGACGCATGCACCGCGCTGCAGTACGAACATGCGCGCTACATGCAAGCCAAGGCTCTGCTGCGCGTGCTGTGGAGCTCGGGATTGATGGACGGAGCGCAGATGGATATGGAGGACCCCGCGATGTGGACCGTTCATATTCCAGGCGCAGATCCGGTCGATGTAAGGCGCGCCATGGGCGCGGTCGAGTTCGGCTGGACCGCATGGTGCGAGGTCGAAGAGAGGGCTGAGGGGCTGGATCTGTCGTGCGCATGGGAGGCAGAGTCAGAGCATAGCGACACAAGGGCGTCGGAAGAGGAGCCGTTCGAGGTGCTCGACTTGTCCCTGCCCGAATCGAGCGCACGGGAGAGCTGGAGTGGCGGTAGTAGCAGCCTGTACGACTCGCGCGCCAGTTTCTGACGCGGCGCAGATTCAAGTCGCCATGAGTGAGTTGTTTGGAAATGCAATTGTTCGGATCGTGCCGTGTGTGTGTCGTGTGCGAGTGGTGCGCCGGTCTTTGACGCGCGCAATGCAGTATGACTGACACTGCTCTGGCTGGACGATGCGTGGTGAGGGCTTGCAACGTCGTCTACCAAACGCGCGAGTGTGGGATGCGAACCGTCCTGGCCGAGTCTATGGGATGACCTGCAGAGACGCTTGTATCCACAGAGCTTGCCGTTGCGGACCTTGTGATGCAAACCGGGTGGGTATCAAGCTGTTCACAGGTCTTGAACCGCTTGCAGGAAGAGTGGTTCTGCATCTTGTGCGAGAGCATGCATGTCGCCACACCACCACCTCGCGCACCTGCTGGGTCGCCAACATTTCATCGTCCTTTCTCTACCAGTGTGCACACGCAGCCATAACCTGCCAAACCATTCACCCACGCCACTCGACGCTACTCGACGCTACTCGACGCTACTCGAAAAAAACTGCAATTGCCATCTAAACCGCTGGCCTGAGCTGGTTGTGCTTGTCTACGGGTGCTGTGGCCTGCTGCGCCTTTCGCTGCTTGAGCACGTTCTCGATAAAGAACTCGCCCGCCTTGTAGCTGCTCCTCACCAGCGGGCCGCTTGCGACATACAAGAAGCCGAGCTGCTCGGCGCGCTTCTGCCAGTGCGCAAACATGTCGGGCTGGACATACTCGTGCACCTTCATATGCCTCTTGGTCGGACGCATGTACTGTCCAAACGTCACCACATCCACCTCGGCCTCGCGCAGATCGCGCAGCGTCTGCTCCACCTCGGCGTCCTGTTCGCCACACCCAAGCATGATCGAGGTCTTGGTGATCAGATCCGGCTTGACCGTCTTTGCGTGCTTGAGCACCGCGAGCGACTGACGGTACTTTGCGCGGCGGTCACGAACCGACGGCGTCGTACGCTCGACCGTCTCGACGTTGTGCGCAAACACGTCCAAGCCCGACTGCGCCACCTGCTCGATACACGCCCGATCGCCCGAAAAGTCCGGCACCAGCGCTTCCACCAGAATCTTGGGCGACTTGGCCTTGATCTTGCTGATCGTCGACGCAATATGCGCCGCACCACCATCGGCCAAATCATCGCGATCCACCGAGGTCAGGACGATGTACCCCAGCCCCCAGCGCGAGATCGCCTCGGCCGTGTTTTCCGGCTCGTGCGGATCGAGCGCCGCCGGTGTGCGCGACGTCTTGACCGCACAGAACCGACAGCCGCGCGTACACGTGTCGCCCATAATCATGATCGTCGCCGTCGCAGTATCCTTGCCCCCGGACCCGCCCCAGCACTCGCCGATGTTCGGACATCGCGCCTCCTCGCACACCGTCGACAAGCCCAGCCCGCGCAGGTCCGACTTGATGCGCGTATAGTTGGCGCCCGTCGGAATCTGGGTCTTGAGATGCTTCGGCAAACGTGCCTCGCCAACACGGCCCATCTGAACGCGACCGGCACTGGAGAGCAGCGGGTCAACGTCGCCGGCGGCAAAGTCGTCGATCGACAGGTCCGCGGCGAGTTTCTCGCGGAACGCCTGCATGCGGGCCGACGGCTTGGCCTTTTCGGCTGCATCCGTGGCGTACGTCCTCACCGAAGCAGCCGACGACGTCGACAGGGAGGAGGAGGACAGGGCCGCGCGCGAGGCGGTGGCGAGGCCGCGCGATCGCGGCGTAATGTGCGCGGTATTGACGGTAGGCGGGCCCCACTCGGCAAAGTGGTCTCGCTGCGCCGCCTTGCTGAGCCCGAGACGGCCGCGCCATCGGGGCCAGTGCACCAGCCTCTCGCGCATGTCCTCGAGATCGTGCGCCGAGCTCGCGGGCGCCAGTGCGGCGCGCAAGACGAGCTTCGAGTCGGTGGTGCGCAAATTACCATACCAGTCGCCGTGCGGGTATACGAGCGCATTGGCCGCCCACGCATGTCCGCCCACGTGGCTCACAGGATAGACGCGGACGTTCTTGGGCGTCTGCTTGCCCGTCTTGATCGCGGCGGCCTGGTGGGCGCGCACCTCGTCCTTGAGCGCCTGGAGGACTGCAGTGCCCGCAACGCCGCAGCGGCAGTCGCGCGCGCCGTGCGTGCAGACGTAGACGTGCGTCTCGTCGTCCGGCTTGGCACGGCCGGTCTGCGGCTGCGCAGCAGCGAGCGCATCGTCGATGCGCTGGCGGAAGGCGCCGGAGTTGTCGAGCGTGGCGAGCGACACGGGCCCGATCTTGGCCATGGTGCCGTTGGTGGTGTAGGCGTGCACGACGAAGCGCTCGTCCTCCTGCGCCGAGTTGGGCACGGCACGCATCATGCGCGACGTCGAGGGATCCCACGCCTGCAGTCCCGCCTCGCTCGACGAGACGGCGCGAGCGTCACCAGCCGAGAACGAGATGCCGTATCCCTCGAGGCTGCCGCCCTTCTTTGCGCGGCTCTCGAGCTCCGAGAGGAATGGCGAGACGGACTCGAGATGCGAGGGCCATGTGTCGGCAGGTCGGGCGTGGTCGTAGGGGTGGACGATGAGATGCACCTTGTAAGAGGGTGATGTGCCTGCGAGCGGCAGCGGCGAATAGGGCGCTGCAGGGATGTTTCCATTGTCGTCGAGGGCTATCGATAGATCCTGTCCCGAGACGGAGGTGTTTGCGCGTGCAGCTGTGGCGCTACTGAACAGCCTGGCTGGCGAAGTGGGTGGTTTGGCAGCGACGAGGCGGGTGGCGGGTCTAGCTGCGAGCGACTGAGTCGGGAGGGTGGCGGCGGCTGCCCTTGAGCGAGCGAGACGCGGCGCCACAGCGCGCAATGACGCGGAAGACGATGCCCAGCAGCTCATGGCGCAGTGGGCGAGGATGGCAGAGGATGTGGTGGGGAGGTGATGAGCAAGGTGCACGCTGCCACCCAGGGTCTTGAAGGTTTGAGGGCACGTTTAGTTGCTCACCCCATCAAACCCGAGAATCCCTCCAATCATCGCCCCGCCAAATCGCAGCGAAATTCCCCCCAAAATCGTTGGCAAGGCAGCCAGGAAGTCAAGGCTCCGACTCGGTGGCGAGAAAAAAAAAAAGACGGAAATTGCGCCGACCAAAACGCCGGAACTTGCCAACGCACTGCTGAGCCAACAATTTTCGCACCCAGAAGCTGTGTTAGATCTATAGCACCCGCTCGGCTCTTTCCGCTCGCTCAGCCGCTGCTATCCAGACAACGACGCAGCAGGCATACGATAATGGCAGACGGACGATGCAAGACGAAAAGGACTGTGTTCATACTAATACATGCGGCGGAAGGATGTGCGGAACTACTCAAGATGAGGCAGACTAGCTCGAGGCGGCAAACGAGCCCATCTTGAGCTGCTCTTCGAGGCGGCGGATCTCTTCTAAGCTCTCGCTGTTTTCGATGGCCTCTTCGATGGCCTGTCTCTCTTCCTGCGTCAACAGTCTTCGTGACGATCCGTTCAAGCGACCTGGTTCGAACGTGCGGCCCTTTACGAGTGCTGGTGCATCGAGGTCCATTGCGCCGCTTTGGCGCATGATGCCAGCTGCCAATTCGGAGGGCTGTCCATCTTCGGTCTGCATAAGGTCGGTTGCTAGTTGACGCTCGCGGGTGGTGATGCGTTGGTAGTCGAGCACGCGCACCTGGGGTAGCTTCCAGATGGCAAATTCGCGGTAGTGCTTTTCGCGACTCGCGGGGTTGCCCATCAGACACAGATACTCGAGCCGCCTGCACTTTGCCAGATGCGCAAGTTCGGCCAGATCGGCAATGGCGTTGTTGGTAAGCGTGAGCGAGCGCAGTGCAGGGAGGGACGAGGCGAGACGTGCGTCGATGCGCGATATCAAGTTGTTGCCCAGTTGCACATGCTTGAGCTGCTGCAGGAGCGGAAAGTTGCCGAGGAATCGAATGTCGTTGTCCGTAAGGTCGATCGCATCGTTCTGGTCGCGCGTCACGCCGAGGTTCTCGATGGCAGGGATCTTGAGACCGCGCAGATCCAGCTCCCGATCGTGCAGTGCGTTGATCGAGGATTGACTCCGCGATATCAATTCTGGTGTGAGCTTCATCGTCGGCGATCCGAGCTGGGTAGCAGCTGATGGATGGTGGATGCGATCGATGACCCCCCCAACCAAAAGTGGAGAAGCAGCAGCAATTAATCCAACATTATTTCCCGCCTCTCCGCCCATCCGCAGCGCACCCGCACCGCATCACGTGAGCCAAAGGCGCAGAGAAGAAGAGAAAAAAGGCGAGCCAAGATGCGCAAAAAAATTGGTTAAAGGACAGACCTTGTCGCTCTCCCATCCTCTTACCTCCCCACCACATCCTCCGTCTTCAGAAACATACCTTTACGACAGTTTGCGCCGCTCGTGTATCGTCCGACCTTCGACATGCTTCCTGCCTCGTGAGGGCCGCACCCCGTCGACACCACCATCGACATTGGCCGACATCCCTCTCCACTGAGTTTCGCCCCGTTTCCTCCCCTCCTCCTGCCCTGAGTACCTCTTTCCTTCCCTGCTCCTTCGCTCTACTCCTCCCCCCCTTTCTTTTCCTTCTGGACCTAATTCTGCCCGCTCTGTGCTCAAACTAAGCCGTAGCGGTTCCTGGTGAGGGTCCAACAGTAAACCACTTGTCGCGCTTCGGCGCGCGCAGGTGGGGCATGCGTGGTGGTACGGCGTACTACACATTCGCTACGCTGCTGCGCATGCTAGCCGTGTCTGATCTCATCAGCGCCTCGTTGGCATGGAGTTTCGGGCGGATCCTTTTTCAGTTACTGTAACAGGTGCTGGAGTTTTTGGGGATCCGTCTTTCCTGGTCGGCGAGGCCGTGGTCAGGCCGGCAACATCTTACTGTCACTGAGCTCTATTCATTGTTGTGGACAAGGCAAAATGCAATCGCATGCTTTGACATCGCAATATCGTGTGTGTGCAAGATCCGGCTCGTTGTGGTCTGAGGTGGTGCGAGCGACGTCGGTTGGCATTGCGTCTTGGACGAGGGTCTTGGGCAAGCCGGAGATTTCTCCGAGCCTGAGTTTCGACGCGGCGTGACTCTACGCTGGCGGGGGCGCTGCATACCCCGCGGACTCAAGGCTATCGCCGGCTATTGCTCAGACCCATGTGGCTTGCTCTGACTCGTCAAGCCACCATGCAGTAGCAGCGGCCCTCGTCCCTCGGCTCTGTACGCAGCACATGTAGAGTGCATCACCACCACCACCGTCTCTACAACACTCGGCTGGATGACGAACAAGACACAAACAGCATCCGCAATGGTCGATGCCAAGACGCGCGATGATGAGCTGCCACCCATCTCGACGCTACCCGACCTGGCAGCAGTTGAGCTAGCTGTGCCCTCGACTTCACCCTGCGCATCCTTAGCTGCGTTGGTGCCGGTAGCTGTCGATGCGGATCACGTGCCACCTTTCTCGCAAAGCGCCGTAGTGTTGCTGCTCAACTTCCTGCTCAACATGACGTTCTTCATCATCGTGCCCACATCCGCCGCATACGCCAACCAACTCGGCGCCTCAACATGGTTCTCCGGCCTCACCATCGGCATCTCAACCCTCATTGCCGGTCTATTCCTCGTGCCGTTTTCAAAGCGGTACAACCGCGTCTACCGCTTTCCGATCCTGTTCAGCTCGGCATGCATCTTGGTGGGCGAGGTGGTGTACGCCTTGGCAGGTGCGGCCGACACGGCCTGGCTCATGTTCGTAGGTCGTGTCATTCTGGGCGCAGGCTTCGTGTCGTGGATGTACGTCAAAAAGTACATGACCGACGCCGCGGTGGTGGGCACACACAAGCGGACGATGATGGCCGCATGCTTAGTGACGACCCAGGTGGGAGGCATGGCTGTAGGGCCGTTCATTGGAGGTCTGCTGTCCAAGCAGGTCAGGCCCATGGACGACGAACATCGCATCTGGAACGGCTTCACCGCCAGCGGATGGTTGATGGCCGGAATCTTTGGGGGGTTCTTTGCGCTCACCTGGTTCGTATTCGTCGATCCAGTTCAGCTGGTCCCCAACTCGCAGCTCGAACTGGGTGCACTCCCCGCAACGCAGGCAAGCACGCAGACAAGAGCAATGACGGAGCGCAACGCGAAAGACGCCGCAGATGCGCCAGGCGAGCCGACGCTGCGGAGCATGGTGCGCGAGCTCAACGGCGCGCAAAAGTTCTCGGTGCTGACCATGTGCTGGTTCAGCATGGTCAACTTTCTCGTGCTCGGAGCGTGGGAGGCCAACATCCCCGTGTTCGGCCAGCTGCGATTCGGATGGAGCGAGTACAATGCCGGCAACGTGATCGCGCTCGGTGGCCTGGCGACGATGCCCATCCTCTTTGCGCTCGTGTTTGCCGCGCGGCATGTGCAGGACCGACTGATCCTCGCTGCCGGTCTACTCTTTGGCCTACTTGGGCTGTCCCTGCATATGGGCAGTCTCGAGAGTCCGGCCCATTCGGCCGTGGCGAGGTTGGGCATGCTGCACTCGCTCAACTTTGGCTCGTTCTTCACCAGCTGGTTCCTGGTGGCGCTGGGATACAACATGCTCACGACGGTCACGCTGTCGCTGCTGTCCAAGCAGGTGCCGGCAAAGTACAACGGCTTGACCTCGACCGTGATCCAGCTGAGCAACTATTCGGGTCGCATCTCGGGCGCGCTGTGGGGATCCACCATCTACCAGGTGGGCCAGTTTAGCATCGTGTCGCTCGAGCTGGCCGTGACGCTGATTGGCACGTTCCTGATCGGCTTCATGTGGCGCAAGATGGACGTGCAGCGCGGTTAAGGTAGATAGCTCTCAAAACCACCGCCATCTCATTCTTGCAGTAGAGACTTTTTCGAGAGCGGCGAGAGACCGACAATGGCAGAGAGACACAGGAGGGGCGCCGGGGCTGAATTGGTCTAAATAGCTGGGCCCCTATTTCGAGCGGCGGGCGTGAGAACGACTTGTTTTTTCCGAACAACGCGAGGCCAAGCGAGACTCGAGCGGGGCCGCTCTTCAGGGTCCTCCAAGAGGGTCTCGCTGTCTCTGCGTGGCGCGCGCAGAATCAGTCGCGTTGGCGGCTCACGTGGGGGGGGGGGGGGGCGGCCA